AGATGACACTCATGACAAAAATGTAGCATCTAAAAATACAGACAAATTACATTGATTTATGACATTCAAAACGCAGATACTTCGTATGCATAACCTCCAAATATGTTTGTCATTTACTTACTTTTTGTGCGACAGAAACAATTTTTGTTAGTCTATCAACTAACAGCGAACACAAAACTTGTTGCAACACTTAATTGTTGAAAAAGAATTTTCAAGTTCAACTGTTGAGTGTGAGGTGTATAGCAAGTATGCGGGAATGAATGAGGAGAACTGTCGCTATCCCGTCACCAGAGAGCGCTACCAGTCTTGCACACAGCGAATACCCATGCAACATCATGCCGTCATTATGACGTGATTTTTTGGTGTGCGTTACGTCATTTGATGAAGTGAAAATAACGTTATGGTAACGTCAGAATGGCACAGCGAAATGACGTCATTCCATATCATCATTTTGACGAATCGATATCACGTTAAAGTAACGTGTATATCGGGTGTCCTAGGCTAGGCAAATTGACGTAATTATCACGAATCTACTTAACGTCAAAGTGACGTATATATTGGGTGTTCCAAAGTAAATTGTGTATCTAGTTGTAAAAACTACCTTCTCAGAGGTATACATATATTCTGAGTTTATAATAAAAGTTATTAAAAAAAAGATCATATATTCTGTTAGAGGTTTGTTCGGGTTTCTTTAAAACCCAATAAAACCATCTGAGAACCAGTGGAACAGTTCAATTCCAAATTATTCGTCGTATACAACTATTAAACTGTCCACTGGTCAACTAGTCCTCTGATAGTTCTCAATGTATTTTTGAAGAATCCAAACAGACCTAAAAGGTATCTAAATCAAATGACCCCTACAAATCTTTGATTTTAAAATAAACTATTAAAAAAATACCCTGAAAGAACTCATAATCAAAAAATAAAAGTATAACAATACTCCACAGTCTTATATTATAGTATATTTCTTTATAAAGGCGGCCAAAAGACTTGTTTTTTAAGCAACGTCAGCCATTTTCTGTTCACCTCATAACCGCCAGACCGTTATTATCCGGTTTTTCAAACTCAACAATGCAATACATCTGTAAAATACCAAATTCGCTTTAATATACTTTATTATTTTGTCACATTTTATTTTTTACCTTTTTCTAAAACATCTTATCAAATAAAGTACAATTTAAAAATGCACCACGTTCACAAGGTCACAACTGTCACTCACGAGAATCATGAAGATAAAGGAAACAGGAAACAACAATGACAATCGACAATATGACATTGCCAGAAATATACAAAAAAATAACGTAATTAGGACGAATTCTAAGTGACGTCTATTCTATGTCATCAATGCGACGTCAAATACTGATTAGGATATTGTATTTCGGATAAATTAATACTAAAAAATTACGTCAAAATGACTGCACCTTGCTGTTTGGGTATTATCTTAACACAATAATAATATTTCACTATATACTGAACTTAAATGGCAAAAAAGTCTCCTTTATATATAAATGTTTTACAACATTCTAGTCAACAATCTCGCAGTCGCAGGAATATACCTCAATTTTCTAAAATAGCACATTTACCAAAATCAATTTCTGTAGGAGCTTCGCAATCTATAATTTTGTTTGAATGATGGCGACCATAGGCGTTTTTAGAGAGGTGGTTTTGGAGGTTGACTTATTACATCGAGTATTCTTGGTAAATTTGGAGGCCGTAAGAGTCCCTAATAAGGCAGAGAGGAATTAGTGCATTACCGGACTGGCTCAAATGATATTGTCTCCTTCTTAAGAGAGAGTTCCTTCTAGAACTGAAAATGAATGGTTGAATCTGCAACTGGATCCTCTTTTATAATTTATAATTGCATAGGAGTAACAAGGGACGGTCTTCGCTGTAGCCTGAACACTGCGCGAATGTCTGCAGATCAGTATTTGGACTTTGATTTCTTGGAATATTTACGTCCTTCATGTTTTGAAGGATTCTCGTATCCAGCCGGTTGCACTCTATCTTCGGCATGGCATTCAACCTCCAGTACTTGCTCCCTTAAACTAAGTAATTCTTTCCATGCCTCATAATAAGGTAGAAAAGGTAACATGATCCATCTAAAATTTCTAAGCTTTCCCAGAGGGTAACTGTCCTTGAAATTCAGTTAATCGACCAAGCTTCTTCCGAAGAACAGATTCCTATCCTCGTGCGTCGTTGATACTGGCTAGAGTGCTGTGGACCAGCGAGTAGTCTTTTGGAACCGTGTGTTCCACATATTGCTTTCCCAGTATGTGTATATGTACTCATTAATTCTTCAAATACTAGGTCAGATATTTATTGGAGTTGGTTTACTACTTCTTCTTCTTCATCATGGTCGTGGTCACCCTCAAAAGTAGCCAGCTGATTTTGATGCAATACGTTCTGTTTTTAGTTTAGGATATTGTTTATATTGTAAATTACATCAATATTTTTTTTCCTATTGAGGTACGGACTTCCCGAGATCTTTAAAGCTTTAGAGAACAACCCTTCTGTCTTTATGGGTTATGGAGCCAGACTTTATCTCCTTCTTTGAAACAGCCCTTTGGCGATTTGAAGATGCGAATCAACTCATGCATATCGGCCATCTTTCTTCGTAACTGGATCACATAATCTTCACGGCGGATGTACAGGCTATTGCGAAGAGCGAAAGATACTTATTAGGGATGTTGCGATACTACTGATATGATACTGGTATCGATACTTTTCTTTGCTTTCGATACTTTACTCATATAGGAACTACTTTTGTTTCGATACTACTTGCGTTTCAATATTTTACTAGTTTTGACTTTACAATACAAACAAAAAGTATATTGTAGGATCACTTTATGGTATGGTATGTCGGCGTACCCTACGACCTTTTTTTTGTTGTTTTACAATCTTCCCGATATCGATACTTTCATTCCGATACTCTTTTCGATACCAGTATTGATACTTTACTGATATCGCAACTTCCCTAATACTGATGCTAATCTCGCTGATGGTTTGGAAAGCATTTTTGACAGATATTTAGCCAACATCTTGTTCATTTGCTCTACCATTCCATCTGACTCTGGGTGAAACGGTATAGTTCTGGTTTTCTTTATGCCTAATGTATCATAGTTTCCTCGGAAAAGCTGGCTTTTAAAATTTCTGCCTCGGTCATTATGGATCTCCAAGGGCACTCCAAATGGACAGCACCGCCACTAATTAGTGCAGGACAATATGGCGCAGGGCAAAATGGCTCAGAACTAAATAGCGCATGATCAAAAGAATATTAGAAGTAATAGCGCTGGTACAAAATACAGCAGGACAAAATACATCTATAACAAAAGAGCCGAAAAGGAAACAGTGCAGTGATAAAAAAACACATAGATAAAACAGCAACTGAAAGAAATGTTGTTGACCACTTTAACGCTAAATAGCAATAAACAGCGCTTTTTTATTATTTATTATTAATTAATTAACTAATTTACCCAACCTGTGCCATCGCGGGTTTCTTCGCACCTGTGCAGCCTGGAGCGCTTATTTTTCCTATGATATTTTGACAAATCGCTTTTTTAAACTGTCACTATTTTCTCATTGCTCTTTTACGTCTTAACGCTATTTTATCTGATCGCTTTTTGTTCTTGCGCTGTTTTATCCTAACTATGTTACTTTTGTACTATTCGTTTGCGGTGTCCAAATCGACTGCAATACATCTACAACAGTTGCGGCCTCTTGATTTCCTAGATTTCCAACCCCTTAGTGAAATAATTCATAATCACGATCATGTATTTATTACTATTTTCGGTCATGGGGAATGGTCCAGAAATATCTAAGGTAAACCTTTCAAATGGGCTACCGACGTCGTATTGTTTCATGGGTGCCTTCCTTTTTCGATGTGGTCTATTACTCATAGCACAGGAAATACATTTCGTACCCCAGTCCTTTACATCATCGAAACTGTTCATCCAATAAAACGTTTCACGAACTCTCTAAAGAGTTTTCTCAACACCGAGGTGTCCTCCTGATGGAGTATCGTGTACTCTAGTCTTTCGAATGACCAACTGTTTTCTGTTTTCAAAACCATAATCATTTTTGAGTACTAGCTTTAATAAACCTTCTTCCATGCTAAGAGTTCCACTGAGCTAAATACTACTTAAGTACTGCTTGTCAGTGTAGATCGATGATTTTCCTCTTTCCGGTGTCTCAGCTTCTTTAAAATGGGATCGTTTTCTTGTTATCAGGGCCGGATTATCCAATAGGCTAGATAGGCTATAGCCTAGGGGTCCTCGACTTGCGGGGACCCTTTACTCTCAAATAAAAAAAAGTAAATCGGTATACAACATCTATTTACTATACGTTGACCATGATGTAATAATAACAAAAATAATAATAATAATTATTATTATCCTTATTTATACTAAATCTGGCCGCGGCACGGCACGACCCGCTAATGCTAATGTCAGTTTTTATCGCGATTTAAGATAGACCGACCGACGGACGCTACTGAACACTGCGCTCTGCATGTGCATCCCCGAAGAATACCCCAAAATTTTGATCCCTGGCGTCGGCGAGCTTGCGCTGCGTGCGTTATTCCCTCTAGTGTCTAGTAAAATCCACACGCATTTTTTAAGGATATGTTCGTTCGTTAAAATTAAAACGTTATAATCGTAATTTAATCACGAAAGTATTTTGTATTAAAAAACAAAATTAGTGCATAGTGTAGTGACACTGAATAAGTGACTAAAATAAGTAACTATGAACTATCAAAGTGGGCAAAAGAAACGTAAAATAGCTAAAGAAAAAGCTATAAGGCAGGCGGAAGCTATAGAAAATGTGCCAAAAATAGACGTTTTTTTAAAAAACCATATATTGATAGTGGGCAGTTACAGAACTCTAATTTAATTCATTTGTCACATGATGCTTTACCAGGAACTTCAAGAACAAATTTGGAAGGTATTTATTTTATATTTTATTCTATGTTTTAAATCAAAAGCAAGCGCATATTTTGTTTTTAGATTCTTTGCTCACCGCTAATGAAAATGAAAACAATGAGAATGACACTGACGAAGTTGATACAAGTGATAGTGATTTTGGCGATCCTGCAAAAATATCAGTTAACATTAACTCAGAGACGATTGATTCACTAATAAAAAATCCGATAATACAAGATTTAAACAGTTTTGATTTTGAAAACTCAAAGAGAGTGTATGAAGGCCTACAATCACGCTACGCATCTAAAAACATATTTTTTTCCAAACTTCGAAATGGTGAGGAAGTTCGGCGAGATATATTCTGTGTCGAAGAATTCAGTTTTCTGTTTGCCGTGTATGTTGTTTAGCAAGGACCGTGAAAAATCTTTTGTTAAAGGATTTAGTGACTGGAAAAATATTCGCAAGAACATTTAAATAACACAAAAATATTTCTAACTCGTTCCAATACTTTAGGCAAAATAGATACAGAAATTGGAAAACAATATTTAGAGGAAAAAAACTACTGGATGAAAATTCTCCATCGTGTATTGTCTACAATTAAATTTTTACCAAGTCGAGGTATGATATTCAGGGGTACCACAAAGAAGTTTGGGAGAAATGACAACGGCAATTATTTAGGACTTTTAGAGTTAATAGCTCAATTTAATCCATTCTTGAACAATCACTTAAAAAAATATGGAAATCCGGGACGCGGTAATGACTCATATTTATCATCTTCTATTTGTGACGAGTTTATTGGAGTTTTATCAAAGCACGTTCGTGATTTTATTGGTAGTGAAGCCAGATCGGCGAAATATTTTTCTATTTCCGTGGATTCAACGCCTGATGTTAGTCACCTGGACCAGCTTACTTTTATTCTTAGATATGTCATATGTGATGACTCTCCTATAGAACGTTTTATTACCTTTATTAGTAATACTGGCCATAAGGCAGTTGACATGGAAACTGCGGTTCTTAAGAATTAGACGAGTTACAGTTAAATATTCAAGAATGTAGGGGGCAGTCTTATGACAATGCCAATAGTATGTCCGGTCAATATTCAGGATTGCAAGCTCTCATTAAAAAAAGGAATCCTCTAGCCTTATTTGTCCCCTGTGCGGCCCACTCTCTTAATTTGGTAGGAACTTGTGCAGCTGAGTGTTGTAATATGGCCACTTCATATTTTATGTTCTTGGAAAAAATATATAATTTTTTCAGCATCCACACATAGGTGGTAAATAATGACAGAAGAACTCAATAAAATTCCCAATGCTCTCGTTCCAAAAAATTATCTGTTACTCGATGGTCTGCTCGCGCGGAATCCTGTAAAGCAATTATTTTAGGGTTTTCTGCGTTTAAAGAGTCATTAGCAGTAATCGAAAATGATATTACACAGCCAAATAGTACAAAAGTTCAAGCAGAAGGAATTAAAAATCGGTTCGAAGAATTGGAAGTTGGGATTTTGTTAAAATTATGGGACGATATTTTAACAGAGTTCAATAAGGTTAGCAAGTCATTACAAGCTACTGAAATCGATGTTTCTTTGACAGTCAAATTGTATGATTCACTTATTAGACATGTTTCACAACAACGCGAAAGTTTTGTATATTACGAAAAATGTGACAATGATTTTACAAACTGTTCCACATATAAATCCGATAATAAAAGAAAAAAAGTAGAAAACTACAATTTGACGAAAACAAAGAGGGTGAAGTTGAATTCAGTGGTAGAGATAATATGCTCATAAATACTGTCTATGTTATAATCGATAACATTCTTGCATTCAAGAGTCGACAAACGTTTCAAATAAGTTTGGGTTTTTATATTTAGAAAATTATTCAGATGAGAATATTATACACAAGCTAATTTGCTCCAGGAGCACTATCCAAATGATTTAGACCAAAGTTTAGGAGCCGAATGTATTCGCTATAAATATTTAATTTCAGAAATTAATTCGGTAATTAGCAATCCAAGGGAAATTTTAAAGTTTATAAGACAAAAAAAAATTAACTTGTAGTTTTCCAAACGTAGATATTACATTAAGGATATTTTTATCCATGGCAGTAACTAACTATAGTGGGGAGAGATCATTTTCTACCTTAGAAAGGGTAAAAAGTTATAAAAGAAATTCATTAGGTGATGAAAAAACTAATCAACTTTCTTAATTGGCTATAGAACACGATATTCTCAAAAAAATTCCTACCGAAAATATTATTGAGAGTTTTGCAACCCTAAAATCACGGAAACGAGCATTTATTTGAGTACACACCAGTCACCACCACCATATTACATAATATTGATGGTTTAAGTGCAAAACGTCGTAACCCACAAAATTTCAAAAATTGCTTTTTGCGTCATTAGAGTCGTATGTTTTAGCTGCGTCTTGTGTAAAACTATCGTAAGCAACAGTATAAAATGAAATAAATTTTACGCGCCAAAACAAAAAGTTGCTCTTCGAAATTACATCTAAAGTCTATTTGGTTTTTTTATTCCCCTGTAAAATTTACTTTTTGGGGTTACGACGTTTTGCACTTAAGCCATCGATATATTCTTCTTTTTTTTAGCGAAAATGTTTTAGGTTATTTTTTTTAGATATTCCTTGATTTTGTATGTATTTTTTTGGAGTAAATTTTTTTTTTTTTTAAATCAAGATATTATTTTAATAAATACCTTTGAACCTATCAATTTTTGTTTCACATTTTACTTCATCAAAAAAAAAATGTCTACCCTAGGTACCATAAAATATGCTGAATGTTCTGGATAGGGAGAGGAGGAGGGGCCCTAAGTAATTTTTAGCCTAGGGCCTCAACAATCGCTAATCCGGCCCTGCTTGTTATTCCATAATTTTGGTATGGACCCACTCATTATTGACTACAATTGTTCTTAGTAGTGCACTTTCTTCAGATTCTGCTCTGATTCAGTGAGACACGGTCTTTTAGAAACAAAATCGGCATTTCTGTGTCTTATCCCAGCTCGATGTTCGATCCTAAAGTCGTCGTACTCTTGAAGTCGTTAAATCCACCTGACTATTTGATCCTCCTGGTTCTCCAGTGTTTTCTAGATTTTTTGTAACGCTAGTGCGTTTGCACGAACTGCTTATATGTCCCAGTTCACCGCAATTTCAACACCTGATAGTCTTCCTCATCATCTTCTTGTTAACGAAATTCTTCATCATGTAACCAGTTTGTCAAGTTTATCTTCCTCTTTTTCCTCTTTTACAGTCCTCACTTTACTATATCCACCAGAAGCATGTGTATTTAGCTGCCTTATACTTAAGAGCAACGGACAAGACATCGACCAATGTTTTGTGACTGACTAAACGGAGTGTTTTTTGCATTTCATAGTCACGGAGTCCATCAACAAATATTTTATGTAATTAGACCATGACATCTTTTCGTCGAAATTAAAGGCTTTAATACTATCAGAACTTACAATTGTTTTTAATTTTGACTTTGACTTCACCTCATTATACTTTATTTCATTGTTTTCAAGTAGTAAATCCTTTAGTAAAGTACACTGAATACCATTCCGTAGCCTTTTGACTAAAAAAATCGTAACTCCCCTTTTTATTTTCGTTGGTTTTGTGGTTCTTCAAGCTGTATAAAATTTAAGACTAATTCGTCACACATAATCAAAAAATATTTAACTTTTGTATCAGTGACAAAAATATTATACCAACAAATATATACAACTTTATTATAACACCCTATAAGCTATTTATATCTCACCTTTTTTAGTAAAAACAATACAATAAAATAAACATGCTTCTGAATCTAATATTTGTCGCATATTGTCCCTTGGACATGCACGACCAATAAAAACCTGTGTTCAGGCAGTACACGCCCGGGAAAACTCCGTGTCGCAACGCACGAGAAAAAAAATCGGCACATTTATTATCGCGAAACTAGTGAAAACAAAACGTTATCATATTTTCCCATTGCCAAGCTATCTAAATGGGCCATAATGTAGATTTAAAATGAATATTCTATCAGTACAAAACTATAATTGCCAATGAACGCGCAAATTAAATTTCATGTCGATATTTTATTGTGAGACGGCATACAATTTATGCTGCTGACAAGTAGGGTTAGTGCAAATTTACGGAGCTGATTATTTTTTGTTACGCTATCAGCAGAAAAAAAATTAATGACGCTATAACAATCAAATTAAATCTGATGTATTTATTTAATCTCTTGAGATCATACTTTCTATCTTTATATAAAGATGACTGTATCTTTCGTCACATTCAACTATATTTTGAAAACACAGTACCAACTGTATATATTTTTTCTGCACTCACATTATCCGTTTTCTAAATGAATATCGTCGTTGAAGAAGTGACACCTCCTCGTATATATTGAGTCAACTTTACAAGAGACACAAAAAATGTATTAAAATAATTGTAATGTCTACTCCTATCTAACAGGTACCGAAATGAAACTCCGTTTGTTTGAACTAATAATGCGTTTATTGAACAACCTAACCCTACATTTAAAAGCCGTAGTGACGCGCGACCACCGCGCAACCTTCTCAATATGTAAGTTGATCGGCACTGGCCACATACTTTGAAATCAAAGTATGTGGCACTGGCCCACTGGGTCTGTTTCTTTTATCTAAGGTCATCGTCATCGTATCGTTTGTCATTTGCATCAGAGACAACCCAGAAAGACATGTAACCACATCACATACTTTGATTACTATACGGGGCAAGAGAGAGGTCCGACACGCCCAACATAGGGCGCGGCCATTTTGATTCCTATGCCACAGTTTATAGCTAAAGAATCAGATCGCTCACTCTGCGTCGGCACTTTTGATCTCAATGTTCCAGTTTATACACTGCGCAACTCGAATAATACAATATATGACAACCGCCTATAATAAAACAGCAGTCTTTTGCGTATCCTGAATTTGTATCCCTGGAGTGGATGTTATTTTGGAACTTTTAAACTGTGATTCCAAAAATAATATTCACTGACACCACATACTTTGATTTTCTTTTACTATACGGAGAATGGTCGCACTGCGCAGCTTTCTGAGTGCCTTTTAAAAGGAGATAGAAAATTCCGCCATTTTGATTCCTTATTACGTGTTGCCTACATCTTGGCGCAATATTTTTAATAGGTGCGTTTTAATCATCCGCTTCTGCTTCGGAATTGTCGGTTTTCTTGTTTTAATCTGACAGGTTAAAACGACTAAACCGACAATTCCGGAAGCAGAAGCGGATGATTAAAACGCACCTGATATTTTGCTTGCTGCTGTCAGTGTCAGTGAATATTATTTTTGTAGTCACAGTTTATTGCTAAAGAATCAGTTAGCTCACTCGGACCAGTTGAAAGTTCCAAAATAACATCCACAACCAGTATATGACGGCGCCACTAGTCAATTTTCTTCTTTTTTTACTGCTGTGCGTATCCAGTCATAAACAGCGGGAAAATGCTGTTGGGCGTTAAATTCAAACATGGATTCAGAAATAAAAAGGTATTTTTCGCGGCATAAACCAACATAAACATTTATGATAGATTATGTTATCGTCTATAGACGTCCCATTAACATATTCTATTATAAACGTTCATATTGGTTTATGCCGCGAAAATTACCTTAAAGTTTTTCTGTACAAATTTACAGGAGGAACAAAAACTATGGTTTCATTATATATTAAAAAATGTAAAAGCTTCCAATAGCATCAAATTTTTTATCATACAAATAATTAATTTCAAGGAAGACAGTTTTAATCATAGTTTAATTTAAGTAGTCAACATAGTTTTTATTACTCTTGTAAATTTCGCTAAAATTATAGTGATTATTAATATTTAAACCTGGAAAAATAATACAACAAACTCTTTTTCTATAAATTGTATTTTTCTAAGGTACAGAAAAAAACCAAGAAAAATAGAAAAAAGATGTTATAATATATTTTAAAAAAATGTAACAATAGTAGTTTGTGCAACAAGAGTGGATATGATGGCCATATCGCACGAAGACGAAA